TAAGGAAACCATGAAAGATGACTATGACTATGATCAATCAAATGTATGCAAATACCCACACTTTCAATACAAAGGGATCTGCACCTCCATTCAAAATTTCCAACAACATCTGAACTTCCGCTTAAAACTTTTTAGGGACCCGCAAATGAAAAAAGGTTGAAAAACACTGATCTAGGGGATAGTTGGCTATTTTAAAAAATATAGTATGTACTAAGAAATGATGTGTGTCCATCAACTTAACTTTGTATTTAGACCATTAGATATCAGGTAGTAATAACTTGCTACTATTATGAACAACAAGCAAAAAATGAGCTACTATTATAACTTAAAGCCTTAGAGCAGGGTGCTTAACCTTGTGTCAAGTACAGTCTACAGAGCCATGACATTCCAGGTCCAGAAATGTGGTGTTGGGGGAGCAGTAGCGATTTATACAGCCATCATCCCCTGCTGCCAGATTCCCAACCCCCAAGTCCTGTGGTGGGTTGGAGCCAGGCTGTGCCCCCTTCCTCCTATAGGGCCAAGTTGGGATTGCATCAAGCCCTCTTCCCCCACACACAGCGCTGGGTCAAGATCCCTTCCCTCTGCAGGGCTGAGTGGGGCTGCATCAGACTCCCTTCCCATCACTGCAGGGCTGGGCTATGCCTCTTTCCTCACCTTCCCCTTACCACCCCACCAAGGAGCCGGGTTGGGGCCTGGTCAAGGGAATCTGCATTATGGGAGGAGTGGGAACAAGAGCCCATGTGCTATAAGACTGAGTAATCACCACTTTCCCCCTCCTCAGTGTTCAGTACTCCTCTCTCCCTGAATGTCCACTGCTTGGCACACTACCGCCCTGCTTTCTGGCATCTCTGCATAGGGGGCAACAATTCTTAGTGACCCTTCTGTTGTGTATGCATATCCCCTTTCCATGTGCAGCTTTGACAGGGACAAAGCAGGAAAATGCCAGCATTCTATAGAGCATCCTATTGAAATTATTTAGCAGTTTTTGTGGGGTGTTGGTTGTAGTCATGTTAGTCTAAGGACATAGGCAGGCAAGGTTCTTTGGGTAAATGTTATATCTTTTATTAGACCAACTAAATAGTTGGAAAAAAATGTTCTTTGCAAGTTTTTGGGCACAAACACCCTTCTTCGGGCAAAAGGAGAATCTGCCTTGAACAGTTTTTGTCATTCATGAGGGGTTATAACAGTAAAATCGATTAGCCTACCAAGAACTTCCCAGAAGAGGAGGGTATAGTGGCTGAGACCAGCTAGGATATTATAGACTGTTTTTAAACAAAAATAGCAAGTCATTTTTTGTGAATCTGTTGCTACTTCCTTCACTTTTTCTGGAAATAATTTTGCATGACTTAATGGTGAACCAGTGTAGGAAGGAAGAAGAAAAGCTGAAAAATTAAACTCTAATTTTCAGCATGATTGTTTGAAATGGCTTCAACTTTCAGCCATGAGGAACCTATCTTTGTTTGGACAGATTAGAAACTATTAATGTAGACTGCAGGAAGTGACTTCATTTGATTTGTACGTGTTATGCATATAAACTATTGATAGCAACCAAAAAAATACTGTGGACAACCATAAATGCAGCTCATGAATTTTAGCCTTGAGAAAAGGATGATTTTTTAATTAATGGTTAAATAACCTGAGCTTCAATTTCAGTTCATTTTTTCAGCAAGGATAAAAAATATCGAGAACTTAGACAAACTTGTTAGTTTGATAGCAGCAGAATGAAGTTAAAATGTGATCCATACCCACATACAAACACATTTGCTAATATTTGATACTTTAATTTCACAAAATGTCAGTAAAAAGAAAGAACAGTTAATTTTACCCTTATGTTGATTTCAACATTCTAAGCTTTGTACGTAAGTGAATGGGGGGTGGGGGGAGAGAGAGAGATGGAGAACTGAACGCGTTTTACTTTGTATTATCATCACCAATGCATGCTCAGTTGTACTTCCTTAACTTTTGTACGTACATGAAATGAGAAACTGTGAAATTATGCTATGTTGAACTGAAGAAAGTATTTGTAAAACAAATCACAGGAAAAGTTTACATAAAAGAAGCTTGAAAGTGTTATGATTAACAGTGGCTTATTAAATGTCTTCTGTAGGGAGGTAAGGCTATTAATTTGAAATCTGATATATTTCTGTCACTAAGGATATATAAGACATTCAAAGCAGTCTGAAAATACAGCTTCTTCGAGTTCAATATAGCTATTTTCTATGAAGTCAGCAAACACCTCATGAAAATTCAAATTTATTTTACGTATTGTAAAGGGTATTGTTAGCTTCAATTTGTCCCCAGATTTAAATATTTTTAAAAGGTTCTGTTTAAAAGACAGCAACTGTTTTCAGTCTTTCCATTAGCTCCTGTAAGATGTCATTACCTTGCGGTGTTTGAAATATACGTAGAGTCATAAGAACCTGAAAATTAAACTCCCCTTCAGCAATAGTGAAAGTGACCCCATTGTTTTCTAGTATATGAGGGTTTTGTTGTCCAAAATTCATCTTGGACATAAAACAGAAATAATAAAATGGCATTTTAAGATAATTTTTAAGACAGTAAAATCCTTAGTTAGGATATAAATATGCTAGTAACATGTGATTTAAGTTTTGTCCATTTAGTTGATGGATTGTTCTGATTTCCTCCTGGACTCAGCTGGGTCAGATCTCAGCTCTCATTCTGGCTACTGAAAAGCAATAAGAAAACCAGCAGTTTTCCTCTGGTTGTGGTTGGTTTCCATAAACATAGTTGCTCCTGATGTAAGGAACATAGATGGAAGAAAAGGGTGCCACTGCAGACCTTGAGCTGCCAAACTCCTAAGTTTACGACAGAAACATTTGCTCCCACATCCTTTAAGAATTCCCCCAGAATTGTATGGCAGGCTGCCTAGAGGTATGTACAGGTCAATTGTGTGTGTACACTCTTCCATCTACATTTAATTACACTTTATTCTTTAAACCTAGGAATATAGGTCAATGGCTTCCTTCTCAACACCTCCAAAAGTGCAAAGGAGGAAACCCCACTCCAGTGTGCCTTTGGAACTACAATATTGAAGGTTGGTTCCTTGCCTTTTCCCCTAGCACTTAAGCTCCTACAGTGTCAGAGAAAAGCCCCTCCCTATATATTGCATCTGGAAGACCCATTTTTAGTGGGCTTTAGAAGAGATCAGCCACTCCTGCATACTTAAAGAAAACCTACTCGAGCTGTATTCAAGAACTCCTTGAGGAAAGTTCTTGTGCTATTCTGCTCCTAATGTGTGCAAAGAATTGGCAAAAAGCCTGTCAGGGATGTGGGAGAATGACCTTCTATGAGTGTCTAGTTCCAGCTTGTGGAGTTTGCATTAACTACGTGAAATTTATGGAGAGGCTTTTGATCTTTAAGTGCTGAAAACTAAAACTCTTTCTTTTGATGTTTATTTCAAGATCTAAGTTATAGAAAATATTGCACAACACAAGTTTCTTTAATAATACACTATGTGGTGCATATTAAGCATTGTAGCCTAATGCCTTCACAGAAGCAGGCAGAGTTAAGATTGCATGTTCATTTTGATATTTCTTCACTTTTGAGTGCTTGTGTCTGCAACTGTAATTCTCAATTAATGTAAAGTTTTATGTATGCAAAATAGAAAAATAGGCACGCATGAAAGAACTTTTTCATGGAGAAATTGAAAGAATGTTTACCCATTTCCTGTTATACACTAAACCAGTTACTACAGGTAAACAGTAGAATTGAGCATTTAGAAGACATTTTAGCATGACCAAAAGTTATAAACTAATTAAAAGCCTTTGAACAAAATTCTTGGCTTTTCAATTCTGCAATTATAATTGGAGCACTATTTTACTACAATATGAATTTAACAGGCTATTAATCAATTAAGAGCTTCAGATCCTTTACAAAAGCACTGTGCACACAGATTTTAAGACGTGGAAGGTTCTTTGACAAGCATATTTTCTTCAGTGGAAATGTGTAGCTATGGTCCAAGATAATAGGAAAATTACTTGGGATTAAGTGTTCACTAATAGAGCACTTCAAATTTCTGCCAAAGAAATTATATTCTGAAACAAGCTTTTCAAGCTTTCCAACAGTGAGCTTTTCAGAACAAAACACAAAGCAAGAAAACCTCATGTACTCTTACATAAAGAGAAACAAGATTTGCATACTGCAATTTTGCAGTGTGTGTTAGTCAGAAAATGTTAAAGGATGTTTTTCTTTAGCTAGTACAAAAGTGTAAAAGCTACCATGTAAAAGCCAAATGATGGTAATAGAACAGAACTATTTATTCTGTTGCTTGTTATGCAAATCTTAAACTCGTAGCTTGGACACCTATAGTTCCTGATTTTTTTGTTGTTGTTGTTTATTGGTTACTTCTAACAGTTGTTTCTAGCCTTTTTACCTCCAGAACAATGCAAAAGGTTTAAATGCAACTCATCTGGACAACATTTTGTCATAGAAGCCTATTTAGAGATTACTTCATTGCAGCTGGACATTCTAAAAGGAATGCTTTGATTCTGTGTTCGATGTGCTCATAAGTTATTCTGTCATAAGTGTGAGCAAATGGTGTTGAAGTCTCAAAGGACTGTAGTGGACAATTGAAGTCAGTGGAAAAATAAGATCTAAAAAAACTGTTTACTAGGGGTCCTGTAAACTTTTAAGCAAATCAGGCTGTAAAGCTGGCTGCTAAAATGGCATGCACATATTAGCATGACAATTTCCTTCTCTAGCTATAGCAGAATTTCCTGCTATAAAACAGAGTTGGAATGAATTTACTGAAAGGAGGCTGCCATTGAATAATATTTCTAGGCAACAGATGGAGTTAGTGTAGCTACTACTGCAAAAGCAGAAAACTATACTCTCCAAATGGCTGAGAAGACAGAGGACAAAACTTAGAAGCCTAAAACCTTGTTTACAAGGGAAAGCTTTGCTCACATAACTTCTTTTGATGCAGACTTGAATCTGCCTGGGTATAAATTGTTAGCTGACAGAATCCAAGCTTTTGGTTGGCAGAATAATCCCACCACCCTCCCAAACAGGGGCGGGTCCAGAGGAGGTGCAGCCTCATCCCCACTTTTTGAAGACATGAAAGGAACAGTAGCTGGGGACTTCAAGTCCCTGAAGAATGTAAGACACCCCCCCCACACACGCACCCTTTTTCCCTCCATGCTCAGAGTCCCGTCTCCTCCTCTCCCTGGCCCCTTTGCTCCCTTTTTGCCCTTCCCCACCTGCCAGTGCCACTGTCCCCACTGCCCACGGCTGAGGAGAGCTCCTGTCCTGCTCCAGCTGGGTTGCATGGGAGCTGGGGTTAGCCGGGGACAGTGACAGCAGTGGCAAGTGGATGGTTCCTCCACTTTGCCTGTCCCTCCAGGGCTAGGGACAGAAGTTACACATAAACTGGTTTAAGCGATCTGAAACTGGTTTAAACCTAGAACAGGACAGAAGTTCAGTGCACATAAACCAGTTTCAAAACAGCTGAAACTGGTTTAAGATAAATCTGGTTGAATGTAATATGAGACTTAAGTGATTTGGATCAAACCAGTTTATGAAACTTCTGTCCCAGACCCTTCCCTAGTTTAAGTTAAATCAAAGTCGCTCAGCACCCCAGTATGCTTTCTAGCCCTGGGCTGGGCTGGGCTGTGCTGTCTGCTCCAGAAACAGGGATGGCTCCACCCCTCTGCTCCCTAGCTGGAGCAGTGAGGGCTGGCTAGCTCACTTGCCTCACTGGCTTGCTCACTGCCGCCCCCCCCGGCAAACCCTGGCTGGGGTCTGGGGCCAGGGAGGGGGGTCAAAATGCCCTCCCCTGAGTATGGACCTGCCCTGCGGGGTTACTTACTGCTAGCTGCAACTGTGGACTACAAATCCCAGAGGCACCTGGAAGCAGGAAGAGCAAATGACAAGCAACCCTGGAGAGTCCTACTGCTGTGATTCTGGACTACAAATCCCAGAAACCTCAGGGGGCAGCAGGAAGAGTAAGCAAACACACCTCTTATGCTGTGTTACTGTTTATAGGTTTCAGTGTATAGTTTTTCAGAGATAGAACTATTCTTGTTCAGGCTTTTATGAATTCAGTGTGACTACCTTTGCCCCCTCCCCACCACTCAGACAGAGCGTGGGCTGGGACCTGGCCCTGCCTGCTCTCCTCCAGCAAGGAGGGAGGAAAGGTCTTTGAAGGGCTTCCTCTGTTCCCTCCCTTTTGGTAGTGGCTAGCAGAATGCTGTAGTGCCCCTCGGCTTCTGGCTTGGGCCACTGCAGGCATGTGGTTGCATTTCCTGAATGTGTGTTTATTTGTTAATCAGTTAATCTCTGCAGTTTAGATTAATCTGCAAAGACTGAATCAATTCAGCCTTAGGTTGTTTGACTGTCTGGACTTAGCCCAGGTGTTCCCAGCCAGCTCAGGAGCATTTGCAAGCAGGGAGAACCCACCCCTTTGCCCACTGCTGCTGTCCTGGGATGAGCCTGGCCCCTGTGAAGCCTGACTAGAACTTCTCTCACCTCTGGGACAGTGGGAGGTGAGGTGGTGGGGGAGTTGCGGGGCAGGAAGTGCCTCTGAGCAGGGAGGAAAAAAGAGGGGGTAGCACTTGTTTTAGGTACTTAAAAAAGTCCCTGACTGCTATTCTTGTGGCACAATCTGCCTGCCCGGGTGGAGAGGAGGAGGGAGAAGGCTGGAAGTAGGGTGCAACCACCCCTGAAGAGCCAGTTTCTGCTCCTGCACCCCCTTTTGTAAAATCCTGGATCCACTTCTGCTTCCAGGTGACAATAGCTTCTCAGCTGCCACACAGCTTCTGACACAATTCCAGTGTGGAGACTGATTATGTCTGTTAGTGGAAGCAGTCCTCTAGCAACAGTCTCACAATACTGAACAACCCAACAGTTTCAGTGACAGCTATGATATTGAGTCAAGTGCTTTGAAAACTCTGGCCACGTCCACATGAGCGCAGACATTTGGTTCCCCAGGGACAACTAGCAGGGGCACAACTTGTGTCGCTGCTGGTTGTCCCTGGGAAATGCCTGTGCCGGGCACCCTCTGGCACATAGCAGGCTATCCCAGGTGGGGTAGAGGAGGCTGGAGCCAGCACTGGGTTGGCCCCAGCAGCCTTACCTGGAGTCCTGAGGGTCTCCTGGGGCTGCAACAGTGGCAATCCTGCTGCTTGGAGCCCAGCCGGCAGCTTACAGTGTGGTTCTGGTTGGCCAGACTTCAGTTCTGAGCTGGAGCTTTTTTTTTCTCCCATGGGTTTTTTTGCCCCTCCAGGGGTCAAAAAACCCCACCATGCTGCTCCTTTGCAGCATGGAGAGCAGCTGAATATGCTGTATGTAGTGCTGCAGACATGTCTGTGGTGCCACATACCACACAGCTGTGCTTGACTGGATGCGGCCTGTGTGTTTTTAGAAAAGCCTCTTTTCGTGGCAGTCCGTATGTGCACGCAGACAGATATTGTTTCCTGCAGAGAGAAACAGATGCACCAAAATGTTGTGCTTCTGCCTACAACAGGAAGGAGTACTAATGGACCTCCATGGCCTGTGTCCTGCTGCACGTGGCATTGGGAGATGGCACAAAAGTCACTGCAAGGCCTAATCATGGTGCACTTTGCCTTTAGCTGATGCAGGTAAGATCAGACCTGCCCGCGATGAAGCCATGCTGGCTGTAGTTCAGAATCCTACCTTCTGCAAGCCTATCACACACAGACTCCTTAATTACTTTTTCCTGGATTTTCCCTGGGATAGAAGTTAGGCTAATTGGCCTATAGTTAGGCTCCCTCCTCCCTTTCTTGAAGATGGGCACAACATTGTCCCTCTTCCTGTCCTCAGGGACCTTTCTGGAACAACACAAGTTTTGAAAGAGTTTTGCCAGGGGCTCTGCGATGACTTTGGCTGCTCCTTCAGCACTCTTGGATGAAGTTTATCTAGTCCTGCTGACTTACATATGTTTAATTTCTTTAATTGATCACACCCCATTTCTATGGCAACAGTATGAAGGTAGTAATTCCTGCTCTGCTCATTCTGTACCCTGTCTGGCATGATTTGCCCCTTGGCCCAGTGAAATACTGAGGCAAAGTAGTCATT